CTGCTGACATCTTCAAACAACAGATTTATAACAGTGAAAATTTCGCATGATTTTTCACTATTTAATTACTCAAAATTTGGTTCTCTGCCGTTACTGCCTGGATCGACCTACTTTCTTCGCAGCACGTTATAACAAAATTTGCTTAATAAAACCCCTACAGTTTCGTTGAGTTTTACTTCCAAATACACCATTTACTGAGCACGTTCATTTTAAATATATATGCCGCCGTATACATAAGTATATGCTTTCAATAATCTTTTTTGCGTTTGTTTTGCTTATTTTCCTTCTTTATCGTCCAGCGAAAAAATTTTTATTCCAAAAGTGAAGGTGGTCACCCTGTACCAGCTCAAAAGTGAAGGTAGGGGGAGAATCGGCTCCCACTATCGCACCTCTGACAATCAAACTCAGTTTCTAAAAAGTTTCAGCAATGAGTTCTATAAGAACGGCAAACAAGCAAAAGTAAAAAGGTATAAAATTATGATAAAGAATTCGTTTACGCGATCACAATCATACAGTCGAGTAGATTTAGCGGTAAATATAGTGTGCTTGCACAGAAGGTGAAATGCGGTAAAATTTGCGCGTGAAGAAATAGCTTCGACTATGACGCCGGCCCATTGCGCGCGCAAGGTACCCGCAGACTGGTGTGGCTACTAGTTCACGCGCAATTTTCACCGCATTTCACCTTCTGTGCAAGCACACTATATTTACCGCTGAATCTACTCGACTGTACGTCGTTATCGTATCAAAATCAGATCGGCTCCCACTATCGCACCTCTGACAATCAAACTCAGTTTCTAAAAAGTTTCAGCAATGAGTTCTATAAGAACGGCAAACAAGCAAAAGTAAAAAGGTATAAAATTATGATAAAGAATTCGTTTACGCGATCACAATCATACGTCGTTATCGTATCAAAATCAGGGCATCACGAAAACAAAACCTGCGATGACACAGAAAACCTAAACCGAACTGGTTACTTGTAAAATTTCCAGGAAACAAGCAGAGACGCTTTACTAGGTATTTTTGTTGAGATTGTAAGCACATTCTTGCCAGAGAAAAAGAAACTTTGGGAAAAATGTTTCCAAAGTGCCTGGATTGCACAGGATTGAAGTTGCAAGGGATGTCGAGGTCACAACAGAGGCGAATGATATAGAACCGCAAGTTGTCGCACCTTCGCGGCCGGGTCATGAAATTATCAGCTGAGCGCACAAGCAGGTGGGTCCTACTTGGATCCGTTCAATGACGTCGATTCTTCGTGACCTCCTTTTCCTTGAAGAAAAATGTCTCCGTCGTCCGATTAACCCTGATCCATGCATGCTTAACATCTTTCGGTTCCCCTTTGAATGTAATTCAATGACTTAGTAGTTATTTCTTTCAGAAGTTACCATACAATTTTTGATGGCCCCACCTTTTTAATAGTGATGGTTGACGTTATAATTGGCGTTGTAAAAACAAAACTCATTCTAAGGTGTTATCTGCTAGATAGGGGCGTTTGGTTATTTTGAAGAGGGCTTCTGAGTAAACATTTGGCATATCTATAAATGGCGCAGACAAGGCATAAAAATGTAATGATGAGGGTTTATCGAATGGTTATGTTGAACGTTTATCGAATGATCGGATCTTCGTTACATTAGCGTAGGCGCTTCAGTGACACGGCATTCTTGCTATGCTGGCAGATGAACGGTTTTGATTTTTTGGCAGTTTTCCAAAAGCTTATCATCAAGGCTTTGTAGTTTTTTCTCTCACATAAACGTCTATTATCTCAACATTATGGACACAGATCTTATAGTCCCTCAATTTTTTATTTCTTATAATTTATTCTGAGACTAGGACACTAGGGAACGCTCTGCACACACTGTTTGAACAATCTCGAACTTGCTCTTGTTTGGCTCCAAGCAGCAAAAGTTTGTGTCAGATGAGATAGATTAGATGTATCCACTTGTTACCACATGTTGTTAAACTTGTTTAAACAACCAACTAGTGAACCAATTATCCAAAGTTGCTATTTGCATGAGCGTTCGCTCCGGGACCGCTACGCAGTTTCTCGCTATTTACCGATTTTTGAATTGCGCTTACGTTTCCTTATATATTAGATAGATATTAGATTAGATGTGCACGCGTAGGTACTCGAGTCTCCTAGTCTCAGAATGAATGATATCTAGCTTGCTTACTCTATGAACTTTATGAGTGCCATTCAGTTTTCTGTATAGTCCAATAGATTCGAGCAGCAGTATAGTGCTCTTGCGATGCTGACAACTTGTGCGCGTAAAAAGTGGCTATGGTGCGCACGATGTAATCGCACTTTTCCATCCCATTGTTACGCAAATGTTGTCGGCATCGCAGTCTATATACCTTCTGAATTTAGAAAGTGCTCTAGGTATTCCGAGTCTCCTAGCCACTAGTCCACAATCTCCAATCGTGATACTTCTTTTGTAATTAGTATCGCGTACGCATTATGAAAGCAGTTGTAAACAAAATTCTTTTTGAGTCAGAAACCATTTTCGATGTACAGTGCCAATATCTCATTTCAAAACCGTTAATTCAACAACGCGTACAGTCTGTGTCACCGATGAGCACCCATCCAACAGCGCAAGCGCAACGCCACAGCCGCAGCCGCGTTCGGGGATGTACGGGGGGGGGGGGGGAGGAGAAGGCACAATCGGCGCAAAATACAAGAGGTGAAACATCCTTCCCATTGACTTTTACTAAATTTTACTTTTTGCTGAGTAGTGTATCTGCCCCCACCCCCACCCCCATAGTCCCCCGCCGTGTCACTTTAGCATCGAAGAGTTTTTGAGAAGCAAAAAAATTGGGGACTGTCGCTCGCACCACACTGTGGCTGCTACGGGAAAGGGAGTACATACGTGGCTGATACAGATTGTACAAATGTATCGATGGCTTTGCCGTACAATATCACCTTCCCATATGTTCTGTTGTCAATATACTTCTTATATATAGGCGAAAGTTCTCGCATTGCCTACGCGTTCCGATATCTAGAATATGCTTTGAACAATGTTACAGTAGTGGGTGCCCACAGTTTCCCACCATGCAGGGTGGCTCTAAATCTTGAACCAAAACCCACTGTACCGACAATCTTACGCGCTTTTCTTGCTGATAGCTGAATTAACTCGCTAACAGTTAACTTGCGCTAGAGTTGCCGTGCCGGAGCTGTGCTAGCGCCGTTCCAGCGTTGTGCAGGAACCCAGTGCACCCGCACCCCATCTATCGATCGGAGTTCGGCACAGCGCTAGCATGACGCTGGCAGGAAGCAACTGTGAAGCAGACTTACTGACATTTGGCAGTGGAGATCATATTTAGCATCCTTTCCTCTTTGCGTGCACTAATGAACGTTAAGTTTAGCATGAGTACGCAGCCCGACATCTCAGACAAATCACCGGAACTTCCGCAGGACAAGCCAAATTTGCAGGAGTTCCGCAGGAACACTATTGCACTATTGCAAAAATGAAAACGTTGAAAATCGGAACTTTCGCGGGATTTTCGTGCGAAACTGGTTGAAAACCGGAACTTCCGCAGAGCCTTTTTCAAAATCCTGCGGAAATTCCGAAAAATGCCAGAGGTTCCGCAGGACGTTGAATGTGTTGTTTTGTGATATTGCCTCGCCAACAACTAGAATGCATTATCGAACATGTCAGCCGTAGCGTAGAGGATAGTATGATCGTCTCCACGATTCGTGTAGAGGTGTAATGCAGACTTTGCCTGATAACACTGGTAAACTTGTTAAACCTCCACGTCATACCATTGTTTTTTGTACTCTCTCGCTATCAAAAACCGCCACGCTTTGAGTTGGCAAAACCCCGCCTCTACACGAATCGTGGAGCCGATGATAGGTGGGTATCCCAGTCAATAGAGTGAGGTTCAAATCTCGCTTCTGTGTTCTCTTTCGTTGTTGTAGTTGGCATTCTTCGGAACTTACGCAGGCCTCATTTCGGAACTTCCGCAGCACGTTTACGGAACTTCCGCAGGTGACTCGGCGGAACTTCCGCAAGCGCTCTGCGGAATTTGCGGTCATTTGTCTGAGATTTCATGAGCGAAATGAAATTGCTTAACCAGCCCATTCAAAATGCAAATCGTCATGTTAGTACACATTACTGTGTAAACATAACTGCCATATAATTATTCGAACTAGCGGCACCTGGTGAATAGTTCAGTCTCTTCTCTCCTCTCTCTCTCATCCAAGTCCCCTCATGCTATCGTTATTTTGCGCCTTTTCTGAGCGATTGATGCAAGGGCTGCCTATGCAATGCATACCGTTTAGCGTGCAGTGCAGTTTGAAGTGCAGCATCAGTCGATGCAAGAGCTCGTTAAACTGCTAGCTAAATGTGAACACGTAACATAAGAATTGTGGAGCTGGATCCGAATCGAGCTTGCTAAACCGCAGACAGTCGTAGCAGCGGAAATCAAAACTAAATTGAATGGCGATCAATCAGCAAAGTTAGCTATCAATATTCTACAGATTGCTATGACTTCCAGAAACCAGGCGACCTACCCGTATCCAACTTTTCCGCGCGCAGTTTAGCGAGTCCTTTCAGATCCATACTGGATAAGGATTACAAGAAAGTATAGCCGCAACTTCTATGTCCGTATACAGCAGCCTAGCCTATACAGCACCGATCCACAAATCCTTCACTCCTGTTCACAACATTTTTCTTCTGCGAGATGAGATATGATATGGCATCGGTGCAATCCGTCAGTCCGCGTATGCTTGCTCATTTCTCTATTCTGTAGTCCAAACTTGTAGGCATTCACTTGAATAAATTTATGTCGCGAGAACTGCGTCACCAAAACCATTCGAAGTGCTGTTTTCTATTCACTGGAAAATGAAGATGCGTTTATAGATTTCAACCCAAGTGTTTCTAGCTGATATTGATCCTAGCTAATCGAATTTTGGCTATTGTTACAGTTCTACCTTCTATTCACACGACAAGGTCCATTCAGCTTTGTGTGCCCTTTTGCATGTTTTGCGCTTCGTCAGTTTGGATCAATGGCTGTCGAGAAAGAGCTTGTGCTGTGTGATCCGATTTCTGTCCTGATTTCTAGGGCGTTCTCTCTCTGCCCGTGTTTACGGGCCATGGGTATGAAAATAAACGAACGATATGTGGTTCTGCTGGGAATCGCCTTTCTTGCCACGATCTCGTTCCTTTCATTGCAACTGTTGCCCTCAACTGGTCGGGATGAACTCATCAGTCATCACATTGTTCCACAAGTTCGGGATGTGGGATTAAGGTGAGTTTTCCCTTTTTGATTGTAATTTTACGATGGGCTGCCGTATATTGTTTTTTTGTTTACTCTTTTTCGATTTTTTACACATGCTTATTTTGGAAAAAGTTTTTCGCCTCAAGCCTGCTCAAATGTTGACTTTAGGAGAGTTTTACAAGAACAAGAAGCTGCTCAGCTTCGGCGGAAAGCTGAAGAAGCTGGTATAGTGGCGCCACCAATTCCAAAGCCTGAGATTGCTGCTGCCGACGACAGTGAGGCAAGAAGAATCACTGTTAAGCAGGTTCTTTCATTTTGAAAATCCTTTTTATTTCTCTTTCCTTCTCGTTTTCATTGTCGTGACCTTTTTAGATGACGAAATTTGCCTGGGACAATTATAGAAAGTACGCCTGGGGTCAAAATGAATTGCGGCCGGTCTCGAAAAGAGGTAAGCTGGTATTCCATACACTTTCGAACTTCTTGTTGACGTTATAGCGATTTGCTTGGGATTTGCAGTCTTTTGAATTTGACTTCTCACTACTGTGACGCATCGTGGCAATTGTTAGGCCCCGGCCAGACTTCTCTCGAAAGCGCCCAAAAGCGCTCAAAAGCGCCCAATTTCTCTAATCTCTCTCATCTCTCCTCACACGAGAAGGTGAAGAGACATTAGAGAAATTTGGGCGCTTTTGGGTGCTTTTGAGCGCATTTGAGCGAAGTCTGGTCAGGGCCTTATAATTTCAGAGAGACTCCATTCACAAAAACACAAAATTCTGATTTTATATTCTCTCTTAAGATTCTCACGAGGGAAGGATACTTGGTCGAAGTGACGTTTCCATAGGAAATGTAGGCCATCCTATAGAGCATGGGACCTGAAGCCGAATCTGCTTTTGTTACCTGCAAAAGCTTTTAGGAGGGAAGTTCTGATGACTCTCTGATGCAAATTTTTGGGGCGCAGCTACAATAAAATCATTCAAAACTGTTGAGCTCTGGGATCATGATGACTGCCAGGGCGCTTCTTGCAATCAATATACCTTCAATCTAATGAATTCAAGCTAGTCATTACTCCATTCATGCGCCGAAAAGACTTCAACATTCGTTTTCGGCTTAGCCAAAACTTTGAATTTTTGCCTCATAAAATTCTCCTAACTTCTTCGCAGAAGCGCTTTGCAGATAAAGAAAACAGATTTGGAATTAGCATTCCATGCTCTACAGGACAGTACACATCTCATATGGAAACTGTACTTCGACCAAGTATCCTTTCCTTGTCAGATGTTCCAAATGGATCTATCAGTGGCACCAATGTCCATATCTACGCGAGCACTTTTAGGTCACTCTGCATCCGTTTTTGGAATGGGCGACATTGGAGCCACAATAGTAGATGCGATCGACACATTGTGGATAATGGGTCTCAAAGAAGAGTATGAACAAGCTCGAAGTTGGGTTCTCAACACCTTGAACTTTTCCCAAGCAGCTGTAGGTTAACTGCATAAATAATTGTTTTATTTTATTTTATCTTATTTAATACGCTCATAGGCGTGTCATTTTGTTAGTAACACCAACAACATCACCAACATATCACCATCAAAATTACGGTTTTGTCTTTGCATTGTTGTTTTAGAGAGGTGATATATCTGTGTTCGAGACGAATATACGATTTATTGGCGGGCTTCTATCGATATATGCGCTGACAAACGACAAAGTAGGCGCATTTATTATCTTTTTTTTTCATTTATGCGAAAATTACTTATTTGAGGCTTACATAGAGAAGGCTGAAGCAATCGGGAAGCTGTTGCTGCCCGCTTTTGACACTCCTACGGGTATTCCTTATGCACTTGTCAATCCTATCACAGGTAATTAGCCACAGCCTTTGTTTTTACGAATTACTTAACTTTTTTTTTGAAGGCTCAGCGAAGAATTATGGCTGGGCAAGCGGTGGTTGCTCAATACTTTCTGAGTTTGGTTCACTTCAGCTTGAATTCGACTACCTGACAAATGTTACAGGAAACAAGGTTTTTTCGGAGAAGGTTGGCTAGATAGCTTTTCATTTCATCAATTTTGCTCATGTAACGTGATCTTTATAAAGGTTGAGAAGATTCGAAACTTCCTCACTGCAATGGATAAGCCAGAGGGCCTCTATCCACTTTATCTCAATCCTAGGACCGGTAAATGGGGTTTATGTTAGTATTACTTGATTTGCTCCATCGTGGCCTGGTGGAGTTCAGTCTTTTTACAGTCGACCATTCACTGGGTGCTTTGGGTGATAGCTTTTTTGAATATCTGCTCAAACATTGGCTAATAACTGGTAAAAAGGATGAGCTCACTAAAAGGGAATACGATGTAGCTGTTTTTGCTATGGAAAAGAAGATGCTGTATGAAAGCCAAAGGAACCATTTATGGTGAGTCTTCTTCTTTCCCATAGCTCGTAACGTTGGAAATTTTATTTGAGGTATTTTGCAAATATTCGAGGAAAAAGAGTGGAACACAAGATGGAACATCTTGCTTGTTTTTCTGGCGGAATGTTTGCTCTCCAGTCTGCCAATGAAAAGAATGCTACAGTAGCTGTAAGTGTTCGAACTTACAATTTTATTCTTCATTTATTATTTTCGTTTTTCTAGGCTCACTACTTGGACCTTGCAGAAAAGATTGCTCATACTTGTCACGAATCCTATATACGTACAGGTGCATCATTGATGTCATAATTTTGCACATGACTAAACTTAGCTAATTCATAGCTGTTGGAATTGGTCCTGAGGCGTTCCGATTTACCAGCGACATTGAAGCCGAGGCCGTATCGACTAGCGAGAAATACTACATTTTAAGGCCAGAGGTATGTTGTTATGGCCTATGTTCTTACCTTTTTATGACTTTCGTCCTTATGGAAGCTGGTAATAGTAGAAATAATTAGAAAATTTTTGTCTCATTAAACTTCATTAGCTTTCTTATGACCGATTATCTACTAAATCTCTCAGAAAGTCGCAATGTGAGAGAAGTGATTTTCCTTTCCACGTGATGAGCTGAGATTATTGTTATCAAGCCCCGGGCATACACGTGATCTCAGTCGCCACCCGGGGCTGGTATGTATCAATCTGCCTCTCGGGAAGGGGTTCCCGTCTGGGTCGTTACACGACCGGGCACGGGCGCCCGCACCCGCGATACACCATTCTGGGATGTTACTCGGGCAAGAGCCCGGACTGCCTAGTTGGGGATCAGTAGCACGCGTGCTGACGCATATGTAATGCGCCTCCTGGCGCATTCAGAGAATGACGCTCTTCACTCATTTCTGTGCATTTCTACTCCGAATTTGAGTCTGTGCGTGTTTCTTTATCGGTTTCTGTATCCTAGGATACTCTTCTTTCTTTTTTCTGACCGCTGTAGAGATCTGAAACTGGCGTCTAAGGCCCGTATGCACGTACATCCCCGCTGGGGAGGGGAGGGGATCTGAGAGGGGATGCGTCATATCTCGCTACTTTACGTATCTTTTTTCTTCCTTTTCTATCTTGCTTATGAAGGTTCTCATACCCTACTACCTGCGCATAATCGATCCCAGTTTACTGGCATAACTGTTTAGATTTGTACTATTTTGTGTGATCCCCTGGGGATCCCCAGGGGATCCCCAGGGGATCACCTCTCATTTTCAAAGTTATTTACCTTCCTGAGAAATCAATAAAAACGCCGCAAAATTGTACAGAGGATATACTACGGTACTGCTAAGCATGTTTAAAGTAAAAATAATTGAAATCCCAGGATATCGAAATCTTCGGTAATCCCTGGCTCAAAAGCTAGGGATCATCGAAAATTTCACAATCTTCAGATTCCATTTTTTCTGCCGAAAACATGCTTAGCAGTGCCGTAGTATATCCTCAGTACAATTTTGCGGCGTTTCCATTGGTTTCTCAGAAAGATAAATGACTTTGAAATTGAGGGGTGATCCCCTGGGGATCCCCTGGGGATCCCCGGGGGATCACACAAAATAGTACAAATTTAATCAGTTATGCCAGTAACCTGGCATCAATTATGCGCAGGTAGTAGGGTATGAGAACCTTCATAAGCAAGATAGAAAAGGAAGAAGAAAGATACGTAAAGTAGCGAGATATGGAGCATCCCCTCTCAGATCCCCTCCCCTCCCCAGCGGGGATGTACGTGCATACGGGCCTAAGTGTATTGAGCAATAAAAATTTACCTTCTTGCTATTCATGCGCATGTACTTTATTCATCCTACTTTTTTATCCTACAACCAAAAGCAATCTCAAAACTTTGTAAAGGAAAAAATCCTAAATGAGGAAAGAAACTCAAGAATTGCAAAAGATCCACAACGTTCCCAAACTTATTGCGACAGACGTCCAAAATCCTTCATTGGGAACTTATGTGGGGGAAAAAGCAGGCAACACATTGAATAATGTACTAGTTAAACTGCATGCAAATCACAAACATGAACATTATAATTACTTGCAAAACCTAGCTACTAAGAAAGAAATTCAGACTGAACAAAAAGAAAGAAAACAAGCTTCCGTTTCGTTCCTTCCCTTAGACGGAGCACAAATACAAAAAACCACAACAAATAAGCCCTCCCCGGAACTCTTCAGTAAGGAGGGAGGGCTAACAGTAGAAAATGAAAAACTCACCAATTTCAGCAAAAAAAAAAACGCGACGAGTTGCATCTCCCGTCGCGAGTGCCCGATCCCGCGAGATCGGGCTTTCCTGCGGGTTGGGCGCCTGCGAGTTTCATACATCATGGGTCGGGCGCCCGCTCCCACCAGGGCGTTCATTTTCAATGGTTAAGGAGCGCCCGGGCGCTGTTCGGGAGATTAATACATTCCGGCCCCGATGTGGCAAGTTGCCATATGTCTTCAGGGGCGGTATGCAACAATCGCCCATCCGGGTAAGTTACCCGGACAGGTGGTTTCCGCTTTATAGCTCGGTGCTCTGGGAATCTGTGTCTTTCCTTGTTTGTTCATCTACTGGAGGCTCTACTACCCTAATATTGTAGCACAATGATCAGCAGCACTTTGCTGTATAAGCTGAGATGATTCGTTATTTGTATGATTCCGAACGGGAACTCCCACTGATCACGCTCATTTCTAAAGTTATTTATATCCACAAAAACTCAATGAAAACGTCACAGAGTTTTGCTGTACATTTATTACGACAGTGCTACGCATGTTTGTGAAAGAAATAAGTGAAAAATCAGGTTGACAAAATCTTCGCTGAACCTGTGCTCGCGAATTGGGCTCTATCGAAAAACTCAAAACTTGCACATTTCATCTGTGCTACTAGAAAGATGCCTAGCATGTCGTAATAGGTCGACAGCAAAACTCTGTGACGTCTTCATTGAGTTTTTGCGGATATAAATAACTTTGAAAATGAGCGTGATCAGTGGGAGATTCCGTTCGGGATCATACAAATAACGAATTATCTCAGCTTATGCAGCAAAGTGCTGCTAGTCATTGTGCTACAATATTAGGTTAGTAGAGCCTCCAGTAGATGAACAAACAAGGAAGAACACAGATTCCCAGAGCACCGAGCTATGAAGCGGAAACCACCTGTCCGGGTAACTTACCCGGACGGGCGATTGTTGCATACCGCCCCAGAATATAACACTCTCAGATTATTAAGTGCATAGTATATGTAACTTTCGTAGATCAATGGAATACTCTATGTTCTGTACATTTAAAATGCCCTTACAATGAATAATGAACAGTTGGAATTTTTTATAAGGTTTGCGTCGCGAATGATACCGCGTGAAGTATGTTCAGTGCCTTAAAAGGCAGTGTTCGTGCAAAAAGTCGATTTTGAGGTTTTGTGCTTACCCGGGCATATCCGCTAGTTGAATTCGGGAATCCACATTGGAGAACGCGAAACGGCGAAAAGGCTCTAACGCAGGAGATAATCAGTAAGTGGGCGGAGTTCCCCACTGTGGATTCACGCTGCCAGTTCCGGAGCGATCTTCTCGATTCCACTAGCCGCGCTGACATCGCCAAGGGCCAAGTGCAAGCGCGTGACTTGAAATCGGAACCGACGAGGTCGCTCCGAAAGCTGTAAATGTGAGTTCCGTAGGGAAGACCCCCCCCCCCTCCTGCTGATTTCTCTCCTGCGTTAGAGCCCTTTTTCGCAAGTACAGTGTGGATTTTCGGATCCAGCTAGCGAATAACCCGGGTAAGCACAAAAAAATCGACTTTTTGCCCGGACACTGCCTTTAAGCTTGAGGGATTGAAAATGAAAATAACCGATTCGATTCAGGTTGTTGAAACGTGGTTCTATCTTTGGCGTATAACTAAACAAGACAAATATCGCGAATGGGCTTGGAACGTAGTTCAAGCTCTGGAGAAGTACGCTAAGGTCAGTTTTAGATTGCATCTTTTTTCTTCTTGGCCATTATATTTCACATTCCGTTCAGTTGCTAAACTTTCGTACCCTTTTCACAATGTATCGTTGTCCAGGTGGAAGCCGGCTACTCAGGAATTCGTGATGTGTACAGTGTTCCGGTTCGGTACGATGACGTGCAACAGTCGTTCTTGTTTGCTGAACTATTCAAATATCTGTACTTGATCTTTGCCGACGACTCGATCTTGCCATTGGACCGATGGGTTTTCAACACTGAGGCACATCCGTTCCCCATTCGATCCTGAGCAATCATCATTCTTAACAATTTGCCGTGGGATTTTGCCCTCTCATGGTGGCTCCCACCATATCACACCACAGTGTCAGGATAGTATTGAAAACGTGGTCGGTGATAATTTACAGGACTTACAATGCATCGGTGGCGCAGGTGTCTGCTTCCTTCAGTTTTTGTACAGAACATGTCGCAAAGGTTTCTTTCAGCTGCGAAGAAACGTAGAGAGTGGCTTGATCTATTCTAGTCTTACTTTTTCGATAAAATCTTGGTGTCTGAAAGCAAAGTTGCGACTAGGTACTTTCGCACAAAGTGCAAGCCAATCTAACGTCTCTCACGGGCTCGGAAATATGGTAGCATATGGTATGGTGCAAAAAGTAGGATCTTTGCGCTAAGTAATTGGTGAACATTCTTATTCTGTGAGTATGTCCATACTGCGGGATAGAATTTGCGGCAATTGATATAATCTCGCATTTTGGTCGGAATCTAAGCAGAGCGGACTTATCTTCTCTACCTTACCTAGAAGTGGTTTCGGCAGAATGGGTTCTTGTCAGATTTTGGTGTTCTTAGGTAACATACCTCCAAGTACATCTCAACCAAACCCGATTTTCCAATTTGTGAGCCATGTAAAACGCACTTCAAAAGTCCACCAGCTCTGCCCACTAAAGGTTGTCAATGGTAGGCTTCTGGAGCGCGATTCTAGATGCAGCGCATGAAATGACAAGTGTGGTTTGTACTACGGTCCACTCGGAGGGTTTACTACCGATTCCCACCAAAATTGACAGGAGTTCATTTTGCCGAGCCACCCTCTAACAGCAACAGGGGTTCGTATGCATTACACATGACAAGCTCGTCAACCTCATGTCGACTCTAAGCTCAGTTATGTTGCGATTCCAATTTGTTGAGGGTCTCATTTGGGTACACCCTAATTTTGTTTTTCTGCCATTACATTTGAAACTCAATATTTATATATTATTACTCCTCTTATGTTGTTTATCAAGACTTATGTGCAAACTATTTGCATAGGCTTGTTACGATCAAAATACCTGAACCACGGGGAAAGGCCGGAAGTAGAAGGGCCTTTATCTTGCATTATTCTAATTTCTTAATTTGTTTTGGATTACCGTGACGTATCTTTCCAAACATGTGCTTTTTTTCTGCCATTGTTGTGTATTGTTATGCGGTATTGCTCCATTCCGCAGATGTATACAGTCCACGAACACTTTATTGTTGTTGAGATGTGTCATAATGAGAAATTGTGCATGAACATAAAACTGTTCAAGATGGTAAAAAGCTTCCGTATGAGCATTGGAAGTATTGACAAATATAATGTTCACAAAAAAATACTGAGGCTACCAAAATACCAGATAGAATTTTTTTTGATCTTTACACACGGCGAAGGAGTAATCGGTACTAGACATCATTCGTGCGATCTTTTCACGCCCATAATGCACCTAACAGCCACTTTTTCTGTAAAGCTCAAGAACTTGCTAGGTCTTTTCAGAAGCAAATGTCACTCATTCGGCATATCTTGAAGTTTGAAAATTTTGAACAAGGGGGCCCGTGCCACCCCAAAGTCTCGCAGGCAGCTGTTCTAGGTTCGTTGCCTATGTCTATCTTGAGGGGACACACTAACAAAATTGGGTAACTTTCTGATTTTGACTGGGTTAAAAAAACGAAGGTGAGAGTGGGGATTACTGATACAAATATATGCGAACATGTGCGAAAGGGTTGGAAATACATCACGCGACTTCAACCCCTCGCGATTCTAACAGGACAACTATTACGAGTCCATTGCATGCGATTTTTGCATTTCGTGGTGTTGGTTTTCTGACTATATAATTTTGAATAAGTATCTCAACCAAAATGCAGAATTCGACACGCAGTAGACTTGTAACAGTTGTCCTTCGGTATCGTGAGATGATAAAAACGCGTGGTATATGTCTGGCCTATAGACCACGGAGGAGGAGCAAGTGGTAATTTTCGTATTTTCAAAAGTTCCTCCTAACAACCAACTTTGCTTGCGTTCGCGTCATCAAGAATTTAAGCCTCGATTATCTGCGTGCAGCAAAACCTAGATCCAAACGTTTCAGTAAGAGCTTTGGTTAGCTTCTAGTGATATTATCGCCAGCGATGATTAACAAATAAGGTACAAACAAAAACAATCGCGACTCTGAATACGACACTGGTAAAGCAATTTGGCATCTTCAAAGAAAATACATGGACAAATCCTGAAGGGGACAAGTAATGAACAATCTTGAGGAACCCACTTCGGCTATCATTCTATACACTTCTACAGCTACGAAAACAGTTTGTTCCTAGTGTGAGAACTTCAATCTCTCAAGGCAGAAAATTAAGAACAAATGAAATGATGCAAGGACTCAAACACCTCCACCAGATCGAGTTACGCTGGGAGTGTCAGGAATTTCGGTGACATCCAGGTACCGTACCAAGCGATTGGCGCTGATTTGACCGCCTTTGAGTCCAGAGTACAGCTGTAATGATGATGCTTAGAAGCTTTGCTACGACCGCGTACGGTTAGTTTAAGAGTTATGCTGTTAGTGGGAGAATCACGTTTATGCGCTTGAGAATGTTTCAAAGTATAATTACCTGGTAGAACTCCGAAATTTCAATTTCTCCGTTTTTGTTGAGGTCCACTTCATTAAGAAGTTCATGCAGTACACGCTCGTCAATCTTCTGATTATGCTCCTAAACAGCGATAATTTGAAATTGTTAAATGAGTATTTAGAAATCTCAGGTATCATCTTATTCATTTCCATGACGGCCAAGCTAGAACCCAAGGTCTAGTCCCGGAAGCGGACGCATGTACGTTGAACGCACGCGATTGCGGCGCGCAAATTTGTTGGCCCACACGACTGCTTCCTTTGCGCTCCAACGATGATAGTTGCTCGACCTCTGCATTCACAACCCCCTTGCGACAGTAAGATACAGTCTTTTTCAACCCGGAGTAGGCGAAATATTCCAAGTGGAGGAGCGCGCCCGCACCGCCACTGGCTCAGCGAGATAGATTAGAATAAAGAGAGACTGCAAAGCGGCGCGAATCGTTGCGAAGCGGACTCCCGCCAGTTCAATTTCCGCCTGAACTGAGTTGAAACTTACTATAAGTGCCAGTTTTATCCGGTTGATTGATACGGTCCTCCCACTCGCTATTGGTCAAGTCACTAAACTGACCAACTGCGAATGGGGTGAGCCGAATGAACCGGCTGAACCGGATACCTCTGGCACCTGCCTAAACCATGCGTCTTCGAGCGGGACTAGCCTTTATTTCCGATTAGCGATTTTCTATGCTCTTACCCTAAAGTGTCGCCTGAGATCATTGACGGTGATGTGTCCCTTGCCATCTTTGTCCAACATATTGAAGCGATCCTTTGCAGCTTGCATTTCTTCTCTAAAAAAAACTCCATAGCTTATCACAATTCATTTTCCTCATAGTGAAAAGAAAACAAGCGTAGAGACTGACTTTGTAAGGTTGAGCGAAACATTGCTGACAGCATTCTGCTTCGCAAGTTGACCCATTTCCAAGTCAATAAACTGGCGAGCACGATCAAGTTGAGCTCGTTGTTCTGCTGACGACCAACCAAGCTCTTCTGCCATTATACGCACTACCTAAGTTATGGGATCATGAGAAGGTGGAGTACGATAGCGTATTTTTCTAGCTGCGTTCATAGTCGCCCGTGCGACAAAGCATCGCGATGCTAAGCGCGTTGCGTGCGACGTCGCGTCAATGACGTTCTGTGCTGACAGGGTGGCGGCATACGGGCAACCATTTATGCAGCCCAATTAATATCGTAAGAATACGAGAGCTAACCTCTGGAAGGACTTCATGAGCCGCGTAAGTGTTAAGGAACGCTAAACGTGTGCGCCTAGCGATCACATCCACCGCTGTGCACGCGTACTCGCGTACGGCATACCGCACCTAAAAGGGACAAGTAAATATAACTGGATCGATCGACTCTTTACAACAGCTTTTACCTCTGCATCCAAATAGGGGAATTCTTGGTGCAGTCGGTTACCAATTATGGGCCAACGTTTTCCTGTTATCTTGCACATTCTTGCCACTACGAAAGCGCGGTCGCCATAAGTGTTAGCAAGATGTTGGGCTACCTAAAAAAGAAATGAGCAAAATTGACTTCGATATCGACTGAAAAGAAAAATATCGAATAATAAGAGTAGAAACTGTGCAACGAAATCTTACTTACATCAACCTCCAAACCATAATCTTGTACTAGATGAATGTACATCAACGGATTGTACTCATGACCTCCTTCCAGCATGAGGCCAGCTGTGACGCATCCGTTCGTAGGTTTCAACTTATGAGCCTAAACGCAAAGGGATACTGTTAAATTGACAGATAGTAGAAGAGGGTAAATAAGAAATTCATTCATTCAGAAGAGACTGGACGTTCCTTCCGCCTCCTCTATTCCTTCTTTACGGACCATACATATAATGACCCTATCAGACTTCATCAGTTTCGAAAAATAGATCTGCTAGGCTCTTGCGCTAGTGCGTTCATAGTTTCCATTGTGCCGGCACCAGGTGAAGGACTATATGTCGCCGAAAAAGGGCGGTTCTCGCGGACAGTTGCGACAAATACGCACCCTTATACATGCGCGGACATGCGTTCCTGCAGGGAATCCGCGCGGGACTATTCCAAATCCAGCGAGATATAGTCCTCCACCCGCCGGCACCGCACCAGCGTTGTGGCGTCTTCTGCTGGCATTGTGCCAAGAGTATGTCAAAAGGCTCACATTTCCGTAATTGCTATTGTCAGAATGGATCCGTATCCCATAAAAGCAAGGTTTTACAAAGTCCACGAATTTTGTTAATATAGAAAACGTAGCGAGATCATATAGTTGAGATCGAAAAGAAACATTGTAAATTCGAACTTTTTCCCTGCTTCTTTATTCAATCGCACCCGTTCAATACGCGCCTTTCGACCGTCTTCCCTGTCCAGCACATGGGTAACTAAACCAGACTAAGGAGTGGGTAATTGTTTCAAATTGAAGAGCGCTGTTTTACAACATTATCGCTCAGAGAAATCTTCCATGAAATACAGCTTCGAGCGGGAGAAAAACATGTTCCGTCACAAACGATATACTCAAATCAGACGTAAATTGCAAAAATATAAGAACACTACCAACCTTCACGCATGCGTCGACTGTTTCTTCTGCCATATGCCTGTATGTAGTCCATTTTCCACCCGCAATGGTTATCAAACCTGATTCCGATACCTAAACTTTCGAAAATCAGTTCAAACTAATCCTGTAACCATGTGAAGTGTTAAACGACCTCGATGATATGATTTCTAGCCAAACTTTTTGTATCTTTCTTATTCGGATCGCGAACAAGAGGACGAAGTCCTGCCCATGAGCTCATCACATCACCACGTCGTATGGAAACATCTTTCGAAAGATAGCCACGAATCTCCTAAATTGCGGTAAGCCCTTGAAACTGTTCTCTATAACTTTGGACTTACTTGCAGGATAAATTCGACGTCTGAGTCTTTGGGTATCGGGGATAGGGTAACTTCAGATGGGGCATCAGTGGTTCCAGCAATGGTCATTCGCTCCCAAGGGAGGAAGAAGATCACACGACCGTCAGAAGTGTCCGGATCGAGAAGACCGGTGTTTGAGGGACTGGAATAAATTTATAACAAAGTCTAAAAAACAAGTTATTTCGACATTACTGACCTATAATAGCCAGGCAAAACAATGTGAACTCCAGAACTAGGCACACAGATTGGTTTCGTTTCTGGATCAGCCATGACGCGAATTTTATCCGTGGACGGACCAGTGGCATTGACAACGGCCTTTGCCTTGACGTCCCATTCAGCACCAGTAAGCTAGAGCTACATCTTGAGCTATTGTGTTTGTTTTGTGCTTAAATCGTACCGTATCTCGCAAATGAGCCCCTATAACTTTACCATTTTCATTTTTCAGCAGCCTCTCGACTTTCGTATGGTTGACGCACTGAAATTTGCAAAGTTTTGAACGTATTCATGTGAAGGATAAATGTACGACTGAAGATCATTTCAGTTAAAAGTGAGCGAATATAATTTCCATTTGCTTTTGTTGGAAGGGAAGATAGCTGTGAATTCACAAAAAAAAACAAGTGAAAAACAAGTACTCAAGAAAATGAATTACAAAAGAAATTTAGTGATGAATTTGGGCAACGTAGGAAAAGAACTTGAGGAAAAGTTTGAAGACAAGAAAAATTCAAAACAATCACAAATTGATGCCATGGTTTGAATGCCCAGAATTTGTTGTTACTACTCATAACCACAAATTCCATCATACTTTTCTAATCCAGATGTATATGTGGATGAGAAAAGTGGACAAGTTTTCTATTTGCTATAAAAAACGAGCAGATGGTTTTTTTTTTCACAAAAAATTATCTCAATCCATCATAAATTATATTCTTTGCACATTTTCGTACGCAAATTTGTCTTTTTCTGGCAGCCAAGTTTCAAACAACAATTGTGCAATTTTCACTTTTAGACCTTTATGGAGATTTCAGACCTAAAATGGAAAGAATGAAAAAATTCTGCACAAGTTTTCTTGGCTTTTCGTTGTAATAGTACGATTTAGTAATTCATTGTAAGACAGTTTGAAAATGTTTTTTTCGCTCAGGTACCTGAAATATTCGGAACTTTTTTATCTCTTCCTCTCTATATCGAAATGAAAAGTTGTTGGACTGCTGTGACCAAATGTTCAAGGATGGTTCATGAAAGGAGCAGACCCGGACTTGCCTTTGCGCCATGCCTGATTGCTGACAATACAATCGCCAAATTCATTCTAGCATCATTATGCGTCCCGTCGTAGTAGATGAGTGCACCCTTGAGCGAGTCAGTCTTCAGCATGGGAAATCTAATTTCATAGGAAAAATTGGGAAACCGCGGAGAACCAGCTGGACTCTTACCGTTCCATAGCGTTGCTTTTACTAATGAAGAAGGAACTTTTGAGCACACGCTTGCCGGAGACAAAATCGTATGCTTTGATACCGGCCCAGTAGTAAGGGACTTGCCAGAGTCTAGAAAAGGAAACATTACTTGGTCACTTCAATTTTATGACTACCTAAGTCATCAGTGAAATGAAGTGACGTACAGGGTGTCTGGAAAGTGCATAACCTGAGGTACTTCCAATAAAAGTTTTGAAGCCTTTTTGCTTTATTGTGCTCAACAAACTTATGGTTAGAAACCATCAATTCAGTAAAACTCAGGTTTCTCTGAGATTTTGATTTTTATTAGGGTGAAACACAATCATTTTAGCTTTTACTCCGCTTTTCTTAGCATGCTTGTTGAAGAAAACGTTTCTCGGAAAAAACTCTGTACACAGTCTGAAAACCCCTTCTTTTCAGCTTCTTACATGTACTTTAATTTTCGTAAGAATGCATTCGTTTTGAAATACCGTGTTTTGAAAAAAAGAAATTCAGGATCAAATTTTCTGTCAAAAGAATCAGCTTCAAAACTTTTTACATTTCATTTATAAAATTTTATAAGCGTGCAAAATTTGAAAGCGAAACATTATGAGAGTAGAAAGCTGGGTTTAAAAGCATACTGGAATAAACTTCCAAAAACTTTCAAACAGAAATTTTTTTTGCCGGTCTGTTGTGCCTTAGCGACACGAAAATTTGTTCGCAAACTGTTGAAAAACTTTTGTTGAAAGTGTAGACCTATAACCCTTTTGTGGTAGGAGAACGGAAAGCTGTTTCCGTTTCCAGCACTGAAAAAAAGTAGAAAAAAATCAATTAATGCATTATTTCGCCTCTTCAAGGAAGCTGGGAAAAGTGATTACTTTTTTATAGAGCTTCTTGGAGCAAAAAAATTTTTCTTTGTTTTCATGGTCTTTAGGTCTAGCACATATAGCAAAAGGCGAGTTGAAATTCGCAGTCGAAGTGCTTGAGGCCAGAAACTTTCCAGACACCTTGTATATAAGTTTAAAATCTTTGATGAATTTAAGTCACGACGAGTTAGAACAATGAGCACTCAGTCTTTTGAAGGTGGTCTTGAATTTTTCCTGTACAGCAACTGGTTTTGGGTCATAGAAAGAATTCAAGAATACTTACTTATAAATTGGAAGCATAATAGGCAGAGGGGCGCTAAGATGGGGAGCAATCTCAAGTAGATTTGCTCGTTCAAATAAGGCTTCCTGCAAAAATTCAGATCTACAATTTTATGAAAATGAACTTTTGTCGAGCATCATTACGACTACCCTGGCCCATTTCTTACCTTAACCATCCGATACTGCTCGAGATCAGCTTTCATAATAGCTGCTTGAAGATACCTAACACCTCCGTGGATGAGTTTCGTACTTCGAGAAGATGTCCCAGAGGCAAAATCATCCAACTCTACCAAAGCTGTTTTCAATCCTTGAAAATATTACTCAGAGGTAAAACACTAAAGTTGTTTGAAGAATAAAACCTCTGGTTTGAGCATCCAGTGCCACACCGGCACCAGTGGCACCACCGCCTATGACCAACACATCATATTCTTCGCCATTCTGAAAAAGGAGAAACTATTGAGTTTCTCAGCTAATAATTTCAAAAAGCACCTTCAAACAATCCAGAAGCTCTTTCCTAGTTGGAAGTGCATTCGGAGGCCTTTTGTTCAGTTCTGTTAGTAGATCTGCATGTGCAGTGCGAAAATAGGCTCTCTAAATGAACATATATTAGATGGTAACAAAATTCTACGATTCGAATTTTGTTTTTTCAAAACCTCCCAGTATTCGAGCAATGATATCATTTTCTGATCCAACAACCTATGAAGTAAGTAGGAATGTTCTACAAGGTATATTCTATTTTACGTATCCTGTATTAAGATGGTTTGTGAATGCATAAGTATTGCAAGAATTTCGATAATCAAAGTACCCCTATCAATATGCAGTTTGAAACAAAGAAAAGTGCTCCAGTGGGAACTAGCTCATTTCCGCTTACAGATGTACAATACCGCTCCGTATTTCTTGGAAAAACGACGCAAAGTTGCCCGAAGTTCATGTGACATCACCGTCGCGCAGCCATATCTCGGTTCAGTGTGGACGAATTCTTAGTCTAAGGACATCATTCGGCACAGCGCGTCACGGCGCATTTTCTGATATATAGAAGTTCCAGTTTAGATGCCGTAGGAGGTCAGATTTCACGAATCGTTTCAGATTTTCGCTTACGTAGGGTGCCCAGTGAGTGCAACGAATAAACGCACTGAGCAACCTACCGTAAACAAAAAGCAGATTAGGCTTTCGAAACGAAGGCGATTTCAGAGTAGAGACTAAGTAAGAGATAAAAAAACTGAAATGTCTTAGATTTCATTATCTCGTATACCCAAAAACGTCCGCTACCAAATCTGCGCGTCCTCGAACAACAATTTTCCTTCGCTGTGGAGCAAGTCAAAACCTCTAAAAGCTCCCAAGCTTTCGTGTGCTTGTATAGCTAATTTCGATGTGTTGTGAGGACGAATGGCAAACAATTTTATTGATGCAAAAAAATATTGAGCATTTGCAGGATTTGCTAGTTGTTTATGAAAGTTCCTCTCGATATTAATACGTGCAGACCGCGCATATCTTCGGAAAGAAAATTCTAAATTGGATTGCCGTTTCTTGACTGATATTCTCTGGATTGAAAATTAGATTTATATTCGCTCCGAAAAGAAATACCCTAAAATCCCATAGATAAGAGCGGTTTAATTTAGCGGTGAAAAATGAATTGGTAGAGATTGAAATTGAATGCAGTCACCCTTCTAACTTGATGGATAAATAAAAATCGGAGAAGAAGTTTAGAAGAAGCTCCGCCCCTCAACTCTAAACCCCGCCCACTGAATGAACAATTCATGTAGAAATTCCGAAATTCCGTTAAAATCGCTATTTATCCATATGAATTGTTTATTAAGTGGGCGAGGTTTAGAGTTGAGAGGCGGAGCTTCTTCTAAACTTCTCCAATTTTTATTTATCCATCCATCAAGTTAGAAGGGTGACTGCATTCAATTTCAATTTCTTCCAATTCATTTTTCACCGGTAAATTAAACCGCTCTTATCTATGGGATTTTAGGGTACTTGCACACATTTGAACTGCCATTTGCAGGAGTGCGGTAGGTCCATACATGTTCTACTCTATAAATTAGTGAGCAGTACGCCAGTGGGCTTCGTTCCCGGTAACATTGACTAGCACCTCAGAGCACTTGAGGAAAGGATCGGATGACTAAGCTGATGCCTCTTTCGGGCTTATTGATTTTCAGACTCCTACTCCACTTTGGGAACAGTTCATGCAAGAAGAAATCATGCGCCCCAATGCCCCTATGCGCTTTCTACGCAGTATCAATAACTCCTAAAGACGAATTTTTTGCCCACCATTTGCCGTTTGAATCTTGTTTCGTTCGTTACATCTAGTGAGTAGAGGGCTGCAGCCGACAGCCCGACGAGGGTGCCCGCCTTCGCCAATCGCGAGGCGAACATGCTAAGAAATTTGCCTGAAAAAACACTGAAATGAACGTTTGAATCAAGATTTCACGAAAGATAGATGAGGTTCGAGTAGATATGTCAATGCGAATAATAATCTTCTGAGAAAAAAGGTGTGCGCACTATGGTGTGAAGACTGCCCAAAAAATTCTCAAGTGCACTTCAGGTCTATAGCTACCGTAATAACATAAGAAAGAAATTATGTGAGAAGGTGCAAAAAAGTTGATCTTTTCGCTAAATGGGCATGAAAATGAGCATCACATTGTTTCATTTTGCTCTTCCTTTTGATGGTGTTCAAAAGTACTCGTTACTATGGAAACATTCCCATTATTGCTCATTGTCCTGTAAAAAACGGCTTTCCATAAACCTCAGTCCCTGAGTATGGGAAATGCACATCTGCCACAGTGACTTTGCAATGAACTTATTCGTCAATGTAAACCAAGGTCCTGTTCTCATTGTTTAAAAACTGCTATGAAAAACTAAATAATCATAGCGCCAAGTATAGACGAAGCAAAGGGAAATCTGGCATGACTTCTTCAAAAGTAAATGACTTTAGAAGTGTAGACTTATCCTAGGTTGCCGAGCGATATCTTGGTATATCACTGTGTCAAAATCGGTAAATACAGATCAGAGTATAAGCTTATACGAACAGAATTTATAAAGGATGGATGTGGAATTCACTTTTAACCGTAGTACCTACCATATTCTAGTGAACTAATACGATAATACCGTCATCATATGATTAGCTCCATTGAGCTGAATACAAAATTGCTTTTAATGGTAGATTTACTTCAAAGAAATTACTGCCAAACTCCATAAGTCGCTCCAATTCCACAAAACTTATTTCATTCACGTCCATTTTTATTTTGTTTTATTATTTCTCGATGACTAGAGTATAAAGATTTTTGTAAGGATCATCCAACGGACTTCATTTGATAGTATGATGGCAACATTTTTCCGGAACTTTAGTTAAGCTTAAAAGTTTGTTGTAAAAAAGCGTGAACAACAATCAAAACACCCAGTTATTACACAGTTATAGATGTCAGTCAATAAGTTTTGCTAGAAAAAGAATTTTACAAGCAGTCTAATTATCCCGACAGAGAAGACTTATAAAAGATTAAAGATTATAAAAGATTTGCCACGTCATGAGTACATTACACCTTTTCCATTGTTAATCAAAAGCGACTATAATCTGTCTCACTTTCAACAATTGCACAACGAAATGATAACAGAAATTGGAATTATCGCAAAAAAAAAACAGCGGTTTCAGTCTTAGACCGGAATACGTAAGCGTACAAAGAGAATGCTAGTCGCATGGTTGTTGATCTTTTACTCCCGTCTGCAAAAGTGGACGATCCATTTCGGGAATATCTCTTTTCACAGACAGAGTAAACAAATTCTTTGACGAGCTCTATTACGGCTATTATGGTTGAACAGTAGGAGCAATTTAGGTAAAGAGAACTAGCTAAATTTGCGGCTTATAACTCTGATAGAGCACACCCTGATAGTTACATAATTCTTGAGGATCAATCTCAACATAATCGAGAGATAAAAAGCATTGATATAAACCTAGTAAAGAGGATTTTTCCTTTGAAAACAGCCATGCAATTTCTCACAAAGAAAAGTCGTTGGTTATTCAATTCAATTCTGTCTTTCTATAATGAGTGGGGGAGGTTTGAGAATTGATTTACAGTATACTTATGTGTTCTTTGGTGAAGAAATCAGCGCACCTCATAATTCAAACAGCACTTGCGGCAGTCAAATTGAAAGGTTCAAGGCCATTTATAAGCTCTGTTTACAACTAATCGAAGCGTAGTAGTCATTTTTTCTGCTTATGTTGGTTTTGTTGAAAAGACCATTTGCGCGCAGAATGACCAAAGGGCACAACGACTGAGAAGGCACGACACGGTCATTTTTCACGCGCAAATGTTGTCACCAGCGCAGTGGTACAACGTTGGCGGAATACACGGTACACTCTTCTTGGGACACTCTGTATAATGCCGACTTTATGATGCAATGTTAAAAGTCTAATTGTAAAACTGCTACTAAACTACGCGGTACGCAACCAATAAAAAATTCCTCAGGCAAGTCAAGGACGATATCGGCAACATTGACAAAGAATTTAAGTCAACTTTATTTGATTTTGCGCCTATAATTGACTCATTTATAATTCAACACAAATTGGTAGATCTCCCTCTTGATACAGTTTTACGGTTCCGATTGTTCACGCACAATTTTACGGCAGAATCTCGACACCGCAACCACACTCATAAGCGTGAAATATACTAGACTGTAATGTATCTCATGTCTTTCTTTGCGCGTAAGTTGCCAAAATCTATCAATTTTCATTACTGCATTTTCAAGCATATGTACCGTGAGTCGTTGACTGCACGGACTGGTCGTAGATTACGGAGCACGCGTCGCGCGAACAAACGCTCGTACAGTCGAGTAGATTTTCCGCATAATATAGTGTGCTTGCACAGAAGGTGAAATGCGGTAAGATTTGCGCGTGAGGGAATAGCTTCGACTGTGACGCCGGCCAATTGCGCGCGCAAAGTGCCGGCAGTGCTGGCGCAGCTATCGTCTATTCTACAGACGCGAGACCGCATTGCGGACATTGTCTCAACAAGTTTGAGTTCGTTCTTCGCTGTTTCCAAAAAGTGAAACCTGGGCGAGATATATAACAAGTACAGGGTGTCCCAAAAAAATGTTAACACTGTTTGATCGTTAATAACTCCCTTGATTTCATGTCTTTCGGTGAGCTTAAGGCACCATTCTGTAGAGCGAGGTTCAACTTAGATTTACAGTTTGGATCGAATCACCGTTCGCTCTTCGTTACTGTAGGATTACGGTAAGAAATTCCAGCATGTGGAACCGTCGTGAAATATGCCCTCTGACAAAATTTTTTTTAAAAAATCTGAAAAATCGTATACTAAGGTTTTCGCGCACGCTGATTTTACTACACAACTTTTTACGAGTGTTTTCAGCTTTTTTGAAGGTGTAATCACATTTTTGACACATGCTGGGAAGTCAGTTATTACGCTTTGCTTAGGATAACTTTAAAAAGAAGAATCATAATAAAATGGAAATTTCATATCCACAATCAGCGGCTTTCATTAACATAGTACAAGAGATTTTGGCTTGTTTGGCTCTGTTTCGAAGCAGAAAATGGCCTTTAATTGCCTAAAATCCTTGTCAAATTTCCTACCGTAATCCTACAGTAATGAAGAGCGATCGACGATTCGCTCCATACTGTGGATCTAAGTTTGTCCTCGCTCTACAAAATGGTACCTAAAGCTCGGAGAAAGACTTGAAAGCGAGGGAGTTATTAACGATCAAACAGTGTTAACATTTTTTTGGGACACCTTGTATAAACCTGCTAAGTACACGATTAGTCTTGTTTAGACAATGTGTGCAATGCGGTCCGGCGTCTCCTGGTCATAGAATGAATGATACCTGTTCACGCGCAAATTTCACCGCATTTCGTCCTCTTGCAAGCACGCTATATTAAGCGGAAAATCTACTCGACCGTACAAGTACAAATCGCTGTCGTACAAGTCGTGCTCTCGTGACATTTTAGCCGCGCCGCGGCAGTTCCGCAATCTACGGCCGGTCGCGCAATCGAAGATTCGACAATAGGTTCAAAGAAGTAGTAAACGTTTACCATCTGTTTGTGTTATCAAGGCAGTTAACTATTTATTTTCACGAGCCGTGAAGTACAAGGTGCAGTGGCAAAATCATACATTCAGTTACAGGAAACTAGACTACAAATACCACACTCAAAACTTTTCGAGCCTTTTGAAGACTAGATAGGAAATCCAGCATAGTACTATAGTGTGAAGCAGGGATATCAGTTTAGTCCAATTATAAAACTCAAAATAAAACTCAAAATAAACAAATAATGAGTGTTTTTTGGAAACTATCAATTTAGTTGACAACTGTGGACAGTTTCTGACGAAGAGCAATGTGCAAGGAGTGGTAAAACACACGCTGAGGCGAAGTGATGATGGATCGATTTGAGTGTGGCCAACCACTTATTAACGCAAAGAGAAAAACAAAAACAATGGAAACGAGTTTGTAATCACTCATCCGACGACAACTCAGGATAGATTGCCAGGAAATCATCAGCAGAGTTTTGGAAAGAGAGTGATGGCAGCGCGAACAAAGTTCAAGGCCACAAAGAAACAACAAATACTCGTAAAGATGATGGACCAAGAACAAACATCTCGACGCGACAACAACAGAGAGCAGATTCAGCATTTGTGAGAAGATGGGGATTGATAGATAAATACAGTCTCTATCGTGTCGGAAAATAGAGGTGAAAAAAACCACCAAAAAGTTCAAAAATCTCCGATTCTTCTTCAAAGTATGTGTAAAAAGTGTTTCGGAAATTCTTATAATTGAATATAATTCTTGTAATTTTTTTCAAAGACGTTTTTCTGGCTGAAAATCCAGGCTTTGCAGAAGTTATCCGCCTACCTGATACAGTGCGACTGCACTCACTGCACACTATGCGCGTCCAATCTGCGATTGCACACACTGCACACATTGAGCGCCCAGTCCTGGATTTTAAGGTAGGTGCCAGAGTAAGCGAATATTTTGTTCGGCTTCGTTCAGCTGCAGAAGAATTAATGTCTGCTGCAAAATCTCTACTGCTGCCAAGGCCTGCTTCAGCTGGTCCCGCGCAGAATCAACGTTAATTCTGTGCGCCTTCAGCTAAGCTGAACAAAATATTCGCTTACTCTGGCACCTACCTAACCAAGAAAAGTATTTTCTTTAGCAAGACGCTTTTTCAGCGAATTCTCCTCAATTTTTATTCCTCTTACGTGTTTCCCAAAAATCTGCGCAAAACGGCCAAGAAATCAAAATGACGCGTGGGGGGAGGGGGGGGGGGTGTAGTTCGTACAATCATATATGTTGGGATATGAAGTTGGGAGAAGTATAAATAGGATCAGATAGCGTTTTTAGCAAGAAAATTTCGCTTATTCTGCCCAATAGCCGACGTGGATGAGGAGAAAACA